ATATACGGGAAGTTGAAAGAAGGGATAGGGGTGAAGAGTAACTTGGACGGCCCCATGGACTACGAAAAAAAACTGAAGTTGCAATTTCGAGTAGGCGATCTGGACTTGCCAGAACGGAGGAAGAGGTACAGCAGCCGTAGGAGAGAGGAAGAGGAGGATAGACAGACATGTCCATGTGGCAAATCGGAGGAGAGTAGACCCCACATAGTTGGGGAGTGTGAGCTGTACAGGAAGGAAAGAGAGGATCTCGAGGAGGACATGAGACAGAGAGGGTGTGACATGGACAAGTTTGGTAAAGTAGACAACAGCGAAAAAACGATCGCGGTAATTGGGGATAGATGGTAGACATAAGAGGCCGTAGAGGACGGGGATAACATGTGCAAGGAATTTTTATGTAGTTTGTGGCAGAAACGCAAAGAGCTCCCAAATGTTGGTGGTGTCTCTAGTAGGGGTAGGAACGGTGCTCCGTCTCGAAAGGGACGCGTGGTCAATGGTCAAATGACTACGGCAAGCAACAAATGAGTACGCCCCCCCCCCCCCCCCCCCCCCCCGGCCAAGGTGAGCATGCCTTCCAAGACCCATCCTGGCGCCCGCGAGTTCCTGCTTCTCTTCCCTTACTACGAGCGCGGGACCGTCTGGGACGCGGTCGTCAAGGCGTCGGAGAACGGCCCGCCGTGGCCGTACCCGGAGCCGTCGGCGCTGCGGGTGTTCCTAGACGCTTGCTGCGGGGTCAACGCCATGCACTCGCACGGCTACGCCCACCGGGACATGAAGGTAGGTGTGTCGTGTGCCGTGTGTCCGTGGTGTGGGGTTGCTGTGTGTTGTAGGTAAGCGTGTGTGATGTGTGGTTTTTCCCGCAGGGGCGTGCCTTTATTTTTGTTGTTGGGTACGCTCACTGGAACATGAATGAAAGTGTGAGTGCGCGGTGGTGGTTGTGGGATTAGGGTGCGTGTGTGTGTCCCGTGTCCCGTGTGTTTTGTGTCTTTGTTGTTGGCATGGACCGCGCTAACCGGCTGACCAATAAAAAATACGTCAGTCTCAGTCAGTGTGGTTGAAGACGCGAAACACTTCTAAATGCCATGAACTTTTTTTTGTGTGTGTGTGTTGCAGGTGAGGAAGGATTGTTGTTGTTGTGTAAGGAGTGGAAGGAGCGTTGGCCGTGCTGACCGGGTGGCCGATGCACAGTAGTCAGGTCGTGATGAGGGGATCGCCGCGGTCAGCGAGGAGGGGGGGTGGAATGTTTTTGGTCCGTACTCCTATGCCCCCCCATCCCCTCTCCTCTCTCATGTTCCGTTTCCCTTACCTCCTTTCCTTCCCTATCCTGGTCTTTGTTTTCTCCTGCTGACCCTCCCTGAACTTTCTTGCTGTGGGCTCCACCCCCAACAAATCTTCGTGTCAACTTTAATCCTTTTCTTTCCGTCTTCTCTCGCCCGTCTCCCTCCCTCCTGCTGTCTCGCCCAGCCTTTGAACCTGCTGGTAGGAGACGATGGTTCGTGCGTGGTGATGGACGTCGGTTCGGCGTGTCCGGCCCGAAGAGAGGTATGGTGCGTGGTGTGCTGGTCGACGAGTGCCTGTGAGGGTGTAGCAGACCGGCTAATACATGCCTATTGTACGAGATTTTGTCGAGCTTTCCTTCTCCTGGTTGCGAAACGAGAGAGAGCGTGAAGCAGACGGCGAACCCGGTTGCGTATGTGTACGCGTTGCAGCACTGCCCATGTGGGCCCCCCGCGCGCTTGACGGTTGGAAATTCGGCGGCTCTGTCGATGAGTTGCGTGGCATGGCAAACATCCACCACCAAAAACACTACAGGCAGCTTTCAGGTTTATTTGTTTCGGCCGAAGAAGGGAGGTGACTTATTGATAGGGGTAGTTCAACAAAGACTTCTCGAACATGCTTCGCTCGGCAATACATCGCATCCTCTCGGTCGAGGATAATCGGCCCAAGTCAGTCATTGACATTCAACACCGCGGAAAGAAGGTCGAAGAGCACGTACCGCACGACGTCCCCCAATCAAACGCCCGGGGGTTGAAAAGCCAACCTTCTCCGCCCTGCCCTTGGGCCTGATACTTACGGAGTATCGCCCCCCCCCCCCCCCCCCCCCCCCCCCCCCCCCCCCCCCCCCCCCCCCCCCCCNAACCGAAAAACAGGTTTCCACTCGCAAGGAAGCCCTTTTGCTCGAAGACGAGGCCTCTGTTGTGTGCTCCGCGCCGTACCGCCCCCCGGAGCTGACCACCGTCGAGCCCGGCGCGGTCATCGACGAGAGGGTGGACGTGTGGGCGCTGGGCTGCACGCTGTACGCCATGGCTTTCGGCCACAGCCCGTTCGAGAGCCCGCGGTGAGTCGCACTAGTCGACCGCTTTCTCTGTCCATTTTTTTTTTTTCCGAGCTCGTTTTTCTAGGGGTGGGTGTGTGTGAAGTACATGGTTATTGAAACCTTCGATGGTGCCTATTGAGGGGCAACCTGCTGCCAAAGGCCACGGTATTTTTAGCCCCTTTACCAGCGTTTCGCAACCCGGCGATGAACCACCCTACCCCCGCTTCACTGTTGGGCGCCGGGACGGAAGCTATCGAGCTTCGCGGTGGATGTGACATGCGCGGCCCTGCTGAATCGATGCCCGACGGGTGCTGCACTAGAAGAGGGGGTAGGCGTCACAGACCTCAGCCCGATGCGCTGGGAGCTATCCACTGTTGCCTCCGAAGGCTCTATCTAGCATGGGCACGAGCGAGTTGCCGAACTGCGTGCGGTGCTGCCGGTGCTACAAATATTGTATTGTTTTTGTTCATCACTGTCGTTGCTTATGAAATTCACTCCAAACCTCATCGTCCCCCCCCCACCCCACCCCCGAAGATGAATCCCTCCGTGTTTTGTGTCGAGCACACTTGAGGGAAGGAGCTTCTGAGATCTCCTGCATTTTCAACCAAGGCATACAAGACAGAGAGTTATTGTGTGTCCCCGTATCGGGGCTCTTACAAGGCCTCAGGAGGGGAAGAGCGCTGCTGTTCCAACGTATAAAAAATTACAACAGAGACCAACAAACGATCCTTGTAGATAAAAAATGTACCCGGCAACCATCATGGACATCTCTTCCTTGCCTCCCGCAAACGTCTCTTCTCATGCGTGTGTGTGTTTGTGCTTTGCGTGGTTACAGGGAAGGGGTGATGAAGCTCGCCATCCTCAACGGCAAGTTCAGCTTCCCGAGAGGGCGGCGGGGTCCCCTCGGACAGGAGTACTCGACCGGGTTCTGCGAGCTGATTGGCTGGATGCTGACGGCCGATCCGGCGTCGCGGCCGTGGTGCCCCGAGATTATCAAGCGGATCCAGGAGCTCATTACCCGGCGGTGACAAGAGAAAACACGAGACACACAACGTTTTCGGTGTTTTCAACCGCACTTGAGACTGATGATGTCTTTTCATTGGTCAGCTGGTTGGCGCGATCAACCGCAATATGACTGACGTCGATCATTGCTCAGCCGGTTAGCGTGCGGTCGATGGTAGTAACACAGACTCAGCGAGGAGCTTTGCCTCCCCCTCATGGGGTCTCGGATCATAAGATGGCCTTGAGAATCGACTACTGCTTTCAAACCGCTCCTAGACTACCGCCTTTCTGTTGTTCGGTCGGTTTAGCGCGGTCGATGCTGACAAAAACACATATCTGGACGGCCGTGTTTTAGGTGTAGGGTGGTAGCGGGGATCGTACCGGTCTTCGAGGGACGGTACTGCTGCTGCTGCTGCTGATTTGCATTTGCTGGTATGGCCGTTTGTTCATTCTCCTTGTTGAGGGTTCCATAGCGTCTGTTTTAGGTTGTAATTTTCGGCGTCTTCTCGTGAAGCACGAGACTGGTTAAACTGAGTCCTTACTACTGTAGCTTTCTCGTGAGCAAGCCTTGACCAGCTGACGCGCGGAGCTATCGTAAAAAGAGGTAGCTTGGACCAAGTCCGGTCCAACAAGAGGGGCGCACAGCGATAGAGGGAGGTTTCGACGTCCTCAGCGTTGCGGCTTGGTGATGCGGCCGGAGCAGGAGCATCTTCAAAGGTAGAGGCACATGTTGTCGGATATTCAACAGGGCATCACATGATTAGTGCTAGCCCCAGCACACGCGCAAGGGACAACAACATAATCTCGCCAGACGGGAGCGCTCAGCAAGGTCTCAACAAAAAATCAAACCACTAGCGCCTCTTGAAAAAACGAGTTATTCTCCGTTTTTAGCGCACAGGGGTCTCGACAAAAATCTTCAATGAAAAAACAAAAACTCGCCACAAGGGAAGCCCGACGTTCAGCAAGGTGTCAACAAAACACAAACAAAAAACAACCCCGTTTTCCGCCTCTAAAAAATCGAATTATTTCCTTTTTGAGCGCAGGGCGATCTTGTAAAAAAAAAACGTCCATGACATGGTGAACTTGGTTGTCGTTCTAACCCTCGCCAGGGAATGCCGATCCGATGTACTTCTTCCCGTCCTCACGGAAGATGTACGTCGTCACCTGCACCCTGCGGTTTCACAAAACATACGGAACGGCAGTGGGTACACCCACGACCCACGAAAGGCAGGGAACGGGCGGGGAAGAGGTGAATTTCGCGTCAGTCTCCAGGAGGCCCTCCAAGCAGAGGATAAGGACACTATTTGAGGGGCCGGGGGGCGAGAGCGTCCGCCTGTATCGCACCGCAACGCTCTGCCACACAGCACGCGATCATCGAAGACTTGAATATGGCTTCATGTCCGGAGACAGCAGTTGGACGCGCAGGTCGCCCCCATGTCCCCCATGTGATCGCACTGCAGCGGGGATGAGTTTTCAGGAAAGATTGGCCTCGAAAATCGATGGCAGGCTCAAGCAAAAAGGATCGGGACCTCCCGGAAGACGAACTTCAAATACCTAGAGGAGTTGCGCACGATGGTTTACAACTTGACAGCTATGATGGGTCAAAGAATGTTCCTGCGTCGGTAGACTGAACTTGTGCATCAGTCTTGGGTAGTTGCTCCACCCGTTTCGACAGATAGGGTTGGTCTCATCCTTGGCCTTTTCTTGGGGGCCTCATGGAAAAAAGGTCACACATCGCAACAACCAAAACGAAGAAAGAGGCGGAGAAGAAAGAGGATAACGGCAAATCAGCAAGAACCAAAGCCAGGACCCACCTGTACGGGCCGCAATCCACGATCGTCTTCTCCTGTTGCGGCGTGGTAGTCGGGACGATGATAAGAGAAGGTGCGGCGATCAACGACCGAAAACGACGAATCAATCGACACGGCAGTGCGAGGGGGCGACGTGGCGTCAATCATGACAACCAAGACCCCCCCCCCACCGAACGTTTCGAGAACGTCGACGAAGACATAGGACGGTAGACAACGAAGACGACGAGTTCAAATGTGATTGCGGCTTCGAATGCGAAGGCCGTGTTCATGTAGTCGCGGAATGTCCGTTGTACAAGAACGAGAGGGAAGTGTACGTGACTGAGCTGGGAAAAATAGATAGGACGTACAGCGAGATGTTTGAGGGATGGAATAGAGAGGAAAGGACGCTAGCTGTACTGGGGCAAAGGAGGTGGGTTGAAAAGGCGGGAAGGGATATCGTTAGCCGTCGGTGATCGGCCCTGTGGGAACAATGCTCCGTCCTCTCGAGGACGCCTTGTCAATGGTCTAACCGCTAAGGCATGCAAAACATAAGAGTACGCCCTCCCC